ATTAGTTCAAATAGCTATTTTTATATATTATAATTTTATATTATTTCTATATTGCCCACCTATACTAAAGATCAACCCTTTCGTCACTATTTTGGCTTGGATCTCTTTTTCATTGTTACCGATTATGTAGCATTGAAATAGCTACAAACTTCGGTATTGACTAGTCATAGAGCTCGCTGGGTATTATGTTTGCAGCTATATAATTTTAAAATTATACATCGCCATAGACAAAAACATAGTAATGCAAATACATTATCAAGAATCTCTGAACCTGTCATGGTATCTATATAAGTAAAGGCTTCTGAAAAGAAACCTGAGCCTCAACTGATGATAATTGACTAACCGTCAAAAAATATATATATATATATATATATTTGGTAAAAATCTGGGTAAATTAAAATCCAGACCAGGTCACCAGTGTTCTGGCCTTCCTTAATTTTATTTTAAAGTTTTCTCCTACTTTCTCTATAGAATTTCTATAAATAGTAACCTTGTAATAACTTATATATACTCATCCTATGTGTTTTCTACACTTTGCCTATAAGTTTCTAAAAAAAAAAAAAAAAAAAAAAAAACCTGCCCGAATCCGAAATGGATTCCGCCCATTACAAACATTTATTTCAGTATTTTGATTTGAGGTATTTGCCGCCCACCTTAGACCAAGAAACAAAAAGAAAGCTAATAAAAAAGTCAGAATTTTTCGAAGCCAAGGAAGGTCCTTTATATAAGAAGGACCGGCAGAAAAAGGATAATTTGCTCCGTGTTTTGCGAAAACACGAAGTTGACCTAATATTGTTTTTGGTGTATATTTACCCGTTAGGTAGTCATTTTCATAAGGATGTGATGTTCGAAAAAATCCGAGACACTTATTTTTTGCCCAGATATATCAGGATATATGGAAGTATGTCCAAATGTGCAACCCATGCCAGCGAAGAACTCAACACTATACGCAGGGAGCTTTATACCTGATTCCCGTTTCGGCACCATTTTTTAAGATCGAGTTGGACTTTGTAGGCCCCCTCCTCTGTACACCCGATTAAATCAGTATATTATAGTCACCACAGACTATATAACCCGTTGGCTCGAAGCACGGACCATAGAAAAAGCAGACACTCAAACTATCACCGAGTACCTATATGACGACATTATCTGTCTCCATAGTTGCCCTGACCGAATTCAATTGGATCGTGGCACCCACTTCCGCAATGATGTTATTAGGTAGTTCTTGAAGAGAATCAATGTGATACAGCACTTATCTACCTCATACCATCTCCATACAAATAGTCTTGTGAAGCGTTTTAACAAAACGTTATGTGAGGCTATGGGAAAGCTAGTCAAGAATGTTGTCGATTGAGATCTGTTGATTCTCTCTATTCTCTTTGCCTATCGAATGCCCGAAATTCAACAACTCGTATGACACCATTCTTTCTTGTGTACGGCTGCAAGGCTAGGCAACCAGTCTACCCAAGTTATTCAGAGGGATTGTTAGAAGATACGATATTGCAAAGGATATTCAAGTTGGTGCAAGAAGTACCTATTGCCAAAAACCAAGCTATGGAGAAGGTAAAGCAAAAACAAATAGCTGTAAAAACCTACCACAATCGGAAACATCAAGTAAATGTGGAGTACAAAATTGGAGAAAAGATCCTCCTAGAGGATGCAAAGAGGAAGTATTCACGAAGCAATAAATTTGCCCCAAAGTGTCTTGGCCCATACTACGTCCATGATAAACTCCCCAACGATACATATAAGTTAAGAATGTTGAAGAGAAAAGTAATTTTGTCCCCTTTAACTTGAGCTTATTAAAAAAGTACTATGATCATGAAGAATCAAAGGATGATAGAACATCGCCGTTGCTAACAGAACCATAATGAATAGTTCACCGGTGTAAGAGGTTGGCACTTTAGTAGAACCTGATTGGGTTAGATCGTCTCCGGCTTGCCCTACCAGACCGGAAATTAGGCTCAATTTTTCACGGGTCGTGAAAAACTAGGCAAGGGAGAATTGTTAGTGGTAAACCACTATGCCTGTAGTGTCAAAAAAAAAAAAAAAAAAAAAAAAAAAACTTGTATCACTCATGCCAGGCCAGATGTGCCCCCATTGAGTGATGGAGCAAACCAAGCCCCACAAGAAGTTCAAAATAGGTAATCGCCACATAAGCCATTGAAGAAGATTGTGGCTGAATGGTGGATGAATGGCGGCTGAATCATAGCTGTGTGAATCCCAAGACCACGGTAATCCGCAGAATAAAGATTAGGCGGAAGGCATAAGTCCATGGAAGGCTCATTTTCCGTGAATAGTGAACCAAGCAAAACTGAAAAAGGTGAGGATCGGACGATCGTCCACAGGAAAGGAGTCAAAGAGACAATAAAGTGTGGTAGGGTGAAAATGCCACTGACATCATTGTGGATAAAGATATAGCAATGATATGAGGGGCGAGACTTTGTATTCTTTTGTTTTCTTTTTTTTGTGTGTTTTTTTTATAAATAGAGTAGCAGTTTGCTACAGTTGTAAGGGCATTGGAGCCCGTCTTCAAACAATAAAAGTCAATAAAATTCTTTGTCTTAAAAAGTCATTCATTTTGTCTCATATTCGTTCACATAACAAACTAAAAGCCTTACTTTGCCAAATCTCTTTCTCCTCACCTTGTCTCGGTTTGTTGTGTGGTTGTGTGATTTTTGAGTGATTTGGTCGTCATACTGATCTGCCTCGCTCCTCTGGTCATCCGGCAACATCAGTCATACCGATGCTTTTCGAAACAATTAATATTTAAGAATTATAAAATATTTTTAAAAATCTTTAAACAATATCATTAATCGTACCTGAAATTACTTTTGTATTAATAATTTTTTTGCTATTAGTAAGGTTTTAATAATTTCTTCAACATTCAAGAGCTTTTTTGATTTCATTTGAATCAACTGAAACCAACTTTCAAGCCAAGTATCAATTTTAAAGAAAACAAGTTCTAGGCCATTTTTGAGGATCTGAATTCATGATTGCCAATTCAACATAATGATCGGGAATTCTCTGGTTACAATTCATTGTAAACCTCGATTAAGCCATCAAAAGTTCTTTGACTATTTTATACATTTAAATATTTGTTATAATGGCACAAACATAGATATGGATCAGCCACTTGCTAAACTATTGTTTTCTCGAACAATTTCCAAAACAACATAGGGAATAACTTTATAAGTATCTCCTTTTGCATCATTTTCATTATTTTCTTTTTTCTTTTTAGATAATATTTTATTCGAGGCATAGGAAATTAAAAAAGATATCCAACAAAAGTTAGATAAATATATCTCGCATTATAAATTCTGTATAGATTAAGTGTTATATTTTTGAGTTGATACAAATTGAATTTTCATGTAAGTTTACTGTAAAAACATATGAATATTTTGTTCTTAGCATACTAAACATACTAAATACTAGGGATTGGGACCGTATAGACATATAAAAAAAATTTCATAGTGCCGGGACGAATTATGTTGAACATAGGCCAGGCAATTTTAATGCTGACTAAATTAAACGAACATGGTTAAACAATTAAATAGCTAAGAACGGCCCAATCCTTATAAAATACTATGACTTTGAGTTGTAATTTTAATTATTTATTAATTGAATTATTGTGGATTTCCATATTAGTCATTTTCACTTTATGTAGCGATTATATTTAAATGTAAATATTTTCTATGTTCATCGAGAATAAAAAGTAACCATTCATGGTATTGCTAGCTTTTTTAAATACTTAATGTTCTATTCACAGAATACATTATCGCGAATAAAAAAATTTTTATAGTAAAGATTCATGAAAATTTAATGTTATTTCATTTATACAGTTATGTGTATTTAAAATATCAGCGTTTGAAAATTTATAAATGATGCTAGCTTGTCTAAATAAAAGGAGTTTATAGAAATTAACACTTAACAACAATGTTTTTATATGATGCCAATCTAACATATCCTTCCACTATTTTTTAAAATTATTATTTGAAACTGAATCATTGTATAAACACGAGTAATTTAAAGTTCCGTTTCGAACGCAGAATTCGATTAGTGCTTTAGTATTTTTCTCTTTATCAAGGCGATTAATTAATAATTTCTTTAAAGTTGCATTGCAATGATTGAGCAAAATATAAATATATGGTTCTAGCTGAGTACTCCATAAGTCAAGACATTGTTTGTTACAGGTGCATATTTTAATACTATAATTATTACTTTGCTAATTATAAACTATAAAAATCATAAGATTAGGACTAAGTAAACCTTCAAAAATATCGAATTTATCTACTGTATACCACTCCAGCAACTACTTCAATCGGTCTATGAGTAATCAAATTGATTTATTGGTGAGTAGAAATTTGAAGTGCGCTGCGACACTTAGATTAATTCGTATTTACTTATTATCATCTACCTAATTCTGCTAATAGGCGAAGCAATGAAGCAACAAACATGCCAAGTATGAAAATAAGGTTGGTTGTTAAATTTTTTGATTCCTAATAGCTAAGATCTAAATAAGCGCATAAATCCAACGAAAGTTTTTTCAACGTATTATTGCTGATATTAAGAATAGTAGTCTAGTATTAACTTTTAAGAAAGGATACGAAAAATCTGAATTTCCGTCGATGAACAAGTTGACACCTTACCTATTTAACAAAATTCAACATCGGCCAACGAATATTTGAAGTGAATCAAAAATTAAAGTTTATCCTGCATCAATTCAAAAAGCATTTTGTGTACAGAGTAGATCTATCCGAAATGAAGGGATGTAAAAAAAAAAGATCAACTACAAGAGTGCATAATTCCTCAAAAAAAAATTACAGGAACAAACCAAATTAATGATTAAAAAAAAACTACTTAAGTTTTGATTTCAAAGTTTGTATTGTTTAGTTATATTATCGTTACTTAATTTTGGTGTCTTAAGATAATCATTTAGAATATATCGCTTAATAATGATAATATTTCATTGCAAAATATGAAAAATCTGCAATATACCGAATTCTATAGACACCTAACATAGTTTTGTTTAGTCGATTTATCACCCTAACACATATGCATAAGTGTAATTAGAAAAATCATATGACCATATGCAATTTTGAATTTATATATGTACGTACAGTACGTTGACAGTCCTAAAATCGGCGAGTCTGATGATTTAGGGAAAGAATAGTCTTGGTAACTACATTTAACGAATGTATGGGTTTATTATGTACAAAGTTTATGCATTATTTAGGGATAGACTTGTATGTTTTATTTTAGATACTTGTATGATTATATGAATTTTAATAAAGCAATATAATTGTAAATTCAACTATTATTATCTATATTAATGGAATCCTAAACCTCAAATTGGCCTTATAGCCAAGAAACACCAGTATGTCAATATCCACAATATTACCGAAATTATCCTGATTTTCCCATTATCCTAGATCTGGGTTTTCGAGGAAATCTAGGCGGGAAGCCTAAATTTGGGGGTCGTCTAAAGCGGAGATAAATCATGTGATTATCAGCCAATCAAATTATAGAATTTTGATGATCGCCGACAAGAAAGAAAACCAAAAAACCTTAAAAATATAAAAAACGGTAGTCTTAACCTACCTTGGGTAAGTAAAAATATCGGGGAGGCAATTTTGCATATATATAATACCTGTAATATCTAAAACCTAAGCTAACTCTAATCTAAGATGACCCTGACCCTAGAGTTAATTTAATAAATATTATACAATTATATAATTATCTCCGCTTTAGACGTCCCCTAAATTTGGAAATACCCGAGATCATGGGGCACGTGCCTGCTTCAGGTCACGTTTCCGATTTCACAACGTCGTACGAATATAACTGTATATATATATTGTACAACTAGTGTACATACGTATACGTACATGCGGACTTGATCTTTTCTCGTTAATACAACGCAAAAGTAATACATGGCAAGAAAACTATTTATGGGCGATATGCCCGAATTAATGGAAAATATTCTTAATAATTTGAATAACGAATTTCATTCCTTATATTCGTGCGCACTTGTGAACCGACATTGGGGCAAAATGACAATTCCTATTCTTTGGCAAAATCCGTTTTCATTTAATCAAAAAAATCCATTATTTATTCCAAAATACTTTTCATCTCTTGATGAAAACGAAAAATTCGTTTTGAATCAACATGGGATAAATACAAATTTTCCAAATACATTATTTAATTATGCAAGATTTCTAAAAGTTTTTGACTTAAATTATCTAGAAAGTATGGTTGAAAAATGGATCGATATCCAGTTTGTTGGTTTAAAACGAAGTTACCCCTCATTAAAATATCGCATAATTGATTTATTATTTAAATTATTTGTTGAAAGTGGAGCCACTTTGCACAAATTAATTTTATATTTTACTGATTATGAAATTAATCCAGAGATTTTCTACTCACTAGGACGAAACGAATTATTTTTTTCACGACTTTAACATTTATCTTTAGGCTTAATATCAGACTTCAGAACCGAAAATGCTATTGCATTATTAAAAATATTGGCAAAAAATACTACAAAACTTAATGTTTTGATATTTGATGAATTTGATTCTGATTATGAACCAGAATTATTTCATGTATTTAACCGCATTATTAAATCACAAGAACAACTTAAGCAATTTAGTTTAATCGGTGAAGAAGGACTTCTTACAGAATTTCACGGTGTCATTTCAGCTTTAGAGAGTCAACAAAAATCATTACAAGAAGTTATAATAGATTTTTGTGCATGTAACACAGAGTTCAAGGTGCTAATGAATTGTAAGAATTTGGAAATTCTTCGTATCAGATATTGTAAAGGTTGTGATAATATTAAAATATTAGAGGCAAGCCTTAACACCTTAGAAATTACGAGTTGCTCGATTTTTACATCGGATATAGTACAAATTTTACAAAAGTCTGGCTCATTATTACAACGATTAAAACTTGAACTAAGAGATGAATTATTGTGGGGAGAGCCGATATTATTAGAAGAACTCAAGCCCTTCTGTACAAATATTATATATCTCTACATTTCAAATGTTGAATTTTCCACACAACTTCTAGAGTTTATTGATAATTTACAAAAACTTCAATTTCTCACGTTTTACATTAATGATATAGTAGGCATATCAGAGGAAGAATTAAAAATACTGATTAAACAGTTTGCAAACATATTGCCATTAACATTGCAATATCTTGACTTAAGGCATTCTTGTCTAAATTCATATATTGATGTTATGCTCAAAAACTGCCCTGTACCTTTAAAAAATCTTCTAGTTGGTCGTCTTGACAACGAGAAGAAAGCTAAAGCATTAATCGAATTCTGCATAAGAAAAAGAACTTTAAATTATGTGGGTGTAAACACAAATTTGAATTTGGATGATAACATTAAAAAAGAAGTGGAAAAATATGTTACATTGGTACCGTGTGAACGCATTGTTGTTGATTGTTAATTTCTATAAATTCCTTTTATACAGTAATTAATCATTAGACATTTACAGTAGCATTGTTAATTAATTTTTAAGGGCCGTGATATTTAATACACACATAAATAACTTACAATAAATCGAGTACTATAATGGTTAAAATACTTCAAAATTTATGTTTAAGTAGATCTAAATAAACGCTAAAAAATTAACAGTTAACATTTGAAAGAAAATTTTGAATTAAAGTTATCCAGTATTACTGTATTATACAGCTCTTTCTAAATGCAATCCACTTAAATGCAATATCTCACCAAATTCGGCTTTAAACTCCGCCAATAAATGCAATTTTTTCATAGTTGCCAAAAATCTGGTCCCTAAAGTTGCATTTAGGGATGCTTGATCGCATATAGATTAATAAAATAATAAATTACACTCTATTACCGTATCATTATAATGTATATGAATGTAACAAAATAATTACCATAATTAAAATTCGGGACAATTTGTAATTGACTATGGCATTTCTTGAGGCTCATATATATCGTGTAGTGTTGGATTTATGACTTGATATTACAAGGTATTTATATTTTTTAAAAAAAATTCATTTTTTATTATTTTTTATATCATTCTTTTATTTATTTTTTATGTCATTCTTTTATTTACTTCGTTTTTTTTCGCACACTATTTGTGGAATAAAGATGCAGTAGAATCGTCCCAATGAATTTAACAATATAATTTGTAGTGCACGTGTTTTTTGAATAAAAAGATTAAAAATTTTTGAAATTATCGACATTACACATATCAAAGTGAACGTGCCTTTATTAGATAAAATAATGCTGTAGACAATTACATCACTAAATAATAATAAATCTAATACTGATAATATTATTTAAATTTATGTTATTTATGAAAATATTTAGATAGTATCCATTAATCAAAACCGTAAAAACAATTATTTAAAAATTATCTAATATTAGCATTATTAACTATATTAACTATATTAAAGCTAGTTTTGAAAAGACAAACCTTATTTTATTATAACATAAACAAGAAACTTTTTATAAAAAGACAAACTTTAAAATAAAGTTGATACGCGTTATTTATTTATCACGCTATGCTTATAAAATCGTTTCATTATACGATTGACAAATGACTTTAACCTATTGTTGGGACTGCCGATGTTAAAAATAAGTAATACTTAACTGCCACATTCAATAATACATACGTACGTATACAAATAATCAAAAAATTTTTCTAATAGATCACAGTGTGACAATTAAGGATCTTGTGATGTCATTTTGAATCCGATTTGCCTTATTTCGACCTGTGAAACATAGTAGTGTTAGAAACGAAATTCATTCTAACTGTTGTCATGGTTTAATTTCGTAGTGCTGAGGATCGGGTACATAAATGGTTTTTGCATGAAACATGTTATAATTAAAAGTCTAATATGTACTATAAAATACCTTCTAACCCTAGCTCCAGGCAAATCCTTACCCTAATTTAATCAATAGTTAAAAACATATGACTGGACACGGCTTTAAACATCCCCTATATCCGGAAATAATATTTAAAAGAGATGAGGTTCTCTAATAAAAAAAATAGGGAGGTTATCGCTTTGAATAAAAAAAAATATATTTTAAATATATGCTTAGTGGTTCGCTTTGTGGTTGTTGAATAGGAGTCGTTGGAATAAAGGTGGAAAGGACCTTAACGGTACTCCAGTCGAATAACATCATAGCCAAGTGAGTGTAAATCGGGTGAAAAGTCCGTAAAAGACAATGTCAATGAATAACTGCTTGTAATTTAAACATATATGGATACTGTATGTGAATTCGGAACTTATGATCATGTAAAAATTTTTTGCCTCGATATTATTGTCATAAAATGACATCATCATTTATGCAAAATGTCGCGACAAAAAATTTCACATGCTAATATAATATGAACAATAACATCAATATTGGACATACGAAAATAACAAGAAATTTTTCTCATCGGAGTTAATGTCACTCATGTGCTGCTACGCAGCACATGGGAGTGACATTAATTCCGATGAAAAAAAAATTCCTTGTTATTTTTCATCGTACGCCCAATATCTTATACATAATAATCCCAAATATAGTAAATACAATGTTTGTGTTACATTCGTATTACATTTAGAATTATTACATTCAGGATTATTACGTTTAGGATTATTACATTAGGGATTATGTATTTATGAGATTGTGATTCGACCGATTTATTTTTTTGGGTTAATAAATTGTCGGAATATCGTTCTTTAAGGATTTTAAATGTTAGTATCTAGCACTACCGGGATTTAGTTTTCAGGATTTCGTACTAAATCCATCTTCACGATTCCTCTTACGTATATAAAATAAAATCTGATTTTCAATGGACTTGTGATTTCTTGTGTGTTATTATATTTAGAACCGGTATGTAATATTTAAAGATAACATTATAATATAATTACTGTTCAAATGATTGACCTAATTTATTAGTCACCTGTTTGAGCTAAATATAACTAGTGTTTGATCTCCCGAAATCAACAGTGATACCGTTAAAAAAAAATTCCATTTTATTATCAGGTAATGTAAATTGTCAAGTTGCCATATGGTTGGCCGTTACCAATTTTACATAAGAGTAATATTGTCTTTATTACTTTAAATAGTCATATGTATTGACATCTACTGCTCTAATAATTACTTTTTATTTAATAGCTATAGAACTAATTTATTAGTCAACTGTTTGAGCTAAATATAACTAGTACGTATTGATCTCCCGAAATTGGCAGTGATATCATTAAAAAAATTTCATGTATTATCAAATAATGTAAATTGTCAAGTTGCCATATGATTGACCGTTACCAATTTTACATAAGAGTAATGTCCTCATTTACTTTAAATAGCCATGTACTGTATGTATTGACATCTACTGCTCTAATAATCACTTTTCACTTAATTTTGAAAATTCTTTTTAAAATTTATGGCCGTAGAAAATGAATTATATAATCATAGTGTTCTTTTTTACTTTAATCAATTCTTACAATAATTCTTACAATTATGTATATGCATCAACATGTCCACCTAGACCATCATTGATACCTCCTAGTAATAAAAATATGTTAATCGATGACTTAAATGGTCCTGTTACCCAAAAAGAAATTGATTCATTCATTAGCTTTCTAGGGCAACCTTCTAAATTACCAAAAACTGCGCTAAATAATACGTTAGCAGATGGGATTGCTGGTCAAGAAGTAGAAGCTTTAGGTTTAATGTATGAAATTACTCAAAATTTTCAAATACTTGATATAATGATAACTTATGCAGATACTTTTTTATCACTTCGAAATGACCCTGTAAGTGGACGAATTCTATGGACAGGAGAAAGAGCGCTTGTTTGGTGTACAAAACCTGAAAATAAAACCAGTGCTGGATACGCTGGTTCTGAAGGTCTTGATACAGTTGGACATATAGCATACACTGCTTACCACATCCTTAAAACGCCTTGCCTTTGGTACGAAAATGTTACAGATAATGATCCTTATAAATATGGTGTAACATATATAGAGCGTGCATCTAAATATATAACTGAAATGGATAAGACTATTGATACCTATTATTTAAAGTATTTCATTCATGAAAGTGATTTAAGAATTTATAATCCAAATTCTACAACATGGGCAACTCTTCACGATTCATTACCAAATTCAGCAATGCCCTGGAATCGACAACAAATGATGACAAATGGATTTTTAAGAATGGCAGAATGTCATGAAATTATTGGTGATGATGAAACAAGAGTTTATAAATATTTCAATATAGTTCAAGTTTCTATTGATTGGATGGTCAGTGAATTTCGTCCAGTTAAATCTAAGAATGGTAAAGATGCATATTCTTGGACTTATTCTGATATTTCTAAATCTATAGAACGTGTCAATATTCACGCACTTTATGATATTTGGGGAATGTATCGAGCATGGCAGCGGAATGATAAATTAAATGTTAGTAGAGATGTTATGGTTAAGCTTGCTAATACAATGATGTATATAATAAATATTGGTGATTATAAAATTTCAAAAAAGGTAGATGGTAAATCATCTAATGATAAAATTGCTGCAAGTACTCTATTTGGTCCTTGGGTATTTTACGCCGAATTTATCCCGGACTGGTATGAATTTTTCGCTAATTTAAATATAAACAAAATAAAAACTGGTCCAGAGTATATGGGCGCAATGCTTTGGGTAAAAAACGCACGTGCATCTGGGATCTTCCCAAGTTCTCAAAATGCGACAATTCATACTAGCTCTCAGGCCAGGACGTTGCACGGATATGAGGCTTTTAAATTGATTTTTTTAATAATATTTTTTAATTTTGTTTTTTTATGCTAATTACAGATTTTTATTTTTTTTAATTTCATTTTTTATAAATTGTTATTAATAAAACAAAGCCTATTTTAATTGTTGTATCGAGTATGGATAGTATAAAGGAATTTAGCGAATAATTAAAAAAGAAACTTATTATAAACGAAGAGAATTATGATATTTTTAAGTGTCATTCAACAAGTGAGTCATATACCAAATGAATCTTCTACCAGTAAAGCCATTATAATTCGGTTTATTCTGTTGTTATAAACAATTATTATTCATATACAGTACTTTCATTTCATTCTGTGCTTCCTATATTCTTTACTCTTCAATCGAACATTGGGAATGTATTAATACATTATAAAGTATTATTAGTCACCTGATTTTATTTGTCTACTAATTTAATAAGAATACACAATGGTTTTAGTTTATTCCTAATTAGGAAGGAAAATATATTTCATTAATTAACATCCAATAAAAACGACGTATCAAATTGTATAAGGAAACGATTTTCATTATTTAGTTACAGAACATTATTAATTGAACAATTCTTATTCGATCATTATAGAACTCTTCTTTCATTTATTCCCGATAATTTTTACTCTGTTTCTATACGGAAATATGAAGCCTTATTCAATTCTTTTACTGCTCGTTGCCTTCGTGTCTTTCACTTTAGCCCTAGATAACCATACAACACCACCACTTCCAAAAAATCCAATTGCTTTGAAGAAACGAATCGAAAACGAAGATATTTATCATTCAGAAGAATAATTTCTATACATGAACATAAAAATGCGGTCTTAAAGAAATTCAGATTTATTTTCCCATACAAAAAATATTTTAAAGAAATTTAATATTTATTCTCCAATATAAAATATTTCAAATTAATCTATTTTTATTATATTTCTTTTGCATAACCAAATGTTATAGACCAAATACGTCTTATTATTGGTTTATAATAATATTCATTTCTCCAACATGAAATAATTATTACCATTCAAAACATTATCATTATTAAAATTCCGAGGTTTTCCCGATATTTTTTAAATTTCTAAATTTAATTCAATTTATTTCATAAAATAGTATTGAAATTTCATCGTTCAACATGTGAATTTATTTTTGATTTTGTTATAATCATGTGATAATGGATTAAATTAGATTTAGAATTATCATTTCAATTTACAAGTTCTGGCATAATTTTTTTTTGTTTTTTTTTAATAAAAGGATAAATAAAGTTGGGAAAAATGGGCATTTGATATTTATTCCTGCATAAAGATTAGGCTGTTTTAATTATCGTTTCCCGAAACTTGAAATAAAAAAAATTAAAGTTTTATTTATTTTAAGTGCTTTTTATATAAATGTTGTGCCTCAGACTAACGCTTGCCTCAGATCACAGCTGACACACCTCCTATTCAGATCGTCAGGTGAGGTGCGTAAGCTATTGGTCTATCATCTAAACTGCAATCTGACGAAAGTAAGAGAGTAAAATAAAAGACTTTTTGACTTGGACGCTTGCTTTCTATATTTTTGAATCATTTTGCGTCGTCTTATTTCCAGAGCATTTTTTTACATTAAGCCTCTTCAGCACCTCCATTCTTTTCTTTAAATTTCTTTGCACGAATTTTCGTGGCACATTCTATTTCCAATTAATATGTACTTTTTTTCTATACGTACCGTTTTTTTTTTTTTTTTGCCTAAATTTTCACTGCATACTGTTCCTATTTAAGTTTTCTCAGCACGTTCAATTTCGATAATACTTTTTATTCTATACATATTTTTTTTCTGTGCGTAATAACCGATCGATAGGTTACGCACCTCATCTAACAATCTACATCTGAGGTGCGTCAGCTGTGATCCGAGGCAAGCGTTAGTTTGAGGCACAATATATATATTGATAAGTATTAAGATATTAATAATATTATTTAATATTATTTAGTTATTTTAAACATATTGCTATTATATTATTAAAGTATTGTTACACCTAAACTAACTCCCAAAGTTCCGAAACGAAACGGACAAGCATGTACGAGAGATCATGTGATCCTCGTGATCTTGGTTGAATGCAGTGACCGGTTGAACCTTTATTCAAACCCTTGACCATGCGACCTATTTTATTTTTATCTTTGTACCCATATTCTTACCAAATTTATTATTATCATACATAGCATACTTATTATCACATAAGGATATCCATACACACATAGAGGTTGATGCATGATGGAAAGTCGTTCGAC